CTGCAGGAGAAGATCGAGGAGTTCGAGGACTTTGTTCAGTCCGTCGACATTGCTGCCTTCAACAAAATCTAAACATCTGAGATTCTTATATTTTCAATAAACTTGAGCAAAGCGAACTAAGAAAATATAATTGTTTTCAGTTTTGAGAGAAATATGTTTTTGTATGTTCAGATACTTAAAGTTTACGCCTGAAAGTATACTTTTAAATTCAAGGAATCTTTTAATCTCTTAATCTCAAGTTCTCAGCTTAAGTCATCCGTTTTGGGCTTTCGGTGAGCTTTTGTCAACAAAAGAGCGAAACTCATAGCACTTCAGCTCAGTTGAACGGACAGCTCGATAGAGTTCGCTTCTATAGAGAAAGTGGAGATACTGTTGAGCGACTTTGAAAATTGCATTTGCAAACAAATCTTTTTCGTATAAAAGTATTGCTTATAATGGCTGCCAACAAATTGAGCTGCACTTTGGCTATTGGCGCTCTTTTGTGCCTGGGATTCGCGGCCCTCATTCAAGCTCAGGGTGAGTTAAATAAATTGAAAACCATATATTTACAATATATAGACGAACCGCAATGTCGGTTCTTGTTTTTGTTTGCGAGACGTTTTTGTTACGCATTTGCTGAGATGTGCTTTTAACACGAAAAATACAAATACCTGATCGTCTGCATTCATTAACATTAATTAGCAATTGTATAGATATTTGTGTCTTTTGTTCTGCGCCAAGACATGTTTCGTTCTTGAGCGTATTTCCCAGATATATTTATCCATCCATCGTGTTTGTCGCCATTTGCATACGACAAGTATCTGAAAGCTACAAACGTTCATTAAAACTCGGGGATTTCTGATCGGTTTCAGATTCCAAATTCGACCATCTATCATCTAAGACGCGGGCCGTTGACTGCGTTAGTTTTCAATAACTCATCATTGCCATTGAAATTACTTCCGATTCGTATACATTCATTACATTTGCGGAAATTAATTGGTATTAAGTTCGAAAAGTATCTATTAATCGTTGGCAGTAATTTGAAGTGAGCTCTTTGATTTCTGTTTAATAAACTAATTGTGTACACGGGTAATTAGCACAAATCAAGTTGTTATCTTGCATTATTCGTGAAAAGGATGTAGTTTTACTGGAGATTTCCCCGAATCCGGAATGGCATTTTGCAGTGCACTTCGGTGCTCCATTGTTTAGAGCTCAAAAATCCCACTTTCGTGACAATTTGCGTTGATGACGACTGCGTGTGTTTTATCTCTGGGTCAGGAAAAACCCGTAAAAGTTTATATAAATTAGATTATGATAGTGAACAAATTTAATTTGTATAGGAGAAAGGAGGGAATAGATAAAACGTTTTTAGTCTTGACCCAATTCATACACCTTTAAAGATTACTTTGCATAGGTCACTGAACTCAGAAGCCTCCGAGTTATGCTCGAGTGTGGGTGAGCCGTAAGGCTAGATGACATGGTGTGCTTCACGCTTCTTTCAATCGTTTCCCATTTGCAAAATGCCGATATTCGTTAAAAATACAAAATATAATTACAAGCACAAGGTCTTGATAACGCCGATTAATTGACTCATCCTCGCCTACGGCCTGCCGGATTTTATTCTACGGAGATGCTTCAATGTTTCCATTGAAACTTGCAAAACTAGTTCGGTATAAAATGAGATGGAACGTGAGGCCGACGCGTTTCAGGTTCATGGGCGTGCAGCCAACGGAATTGCTTTTCGTTTCTTGGATATATTTTATAATTTTGTTGAATTTTCAAAATTTAATGAAACTGCGCGCAGCGGGAAAACACAGATTAGATTTTAGGATTAGTTTTAGTGCCTGTAATAACAACTAAAAATGTTGTTTCATTAAAATCTTTATCGCGTTGGTTAACTAAAAATTTTTTTTTAGTTTGAAAATATTGATAATAGGGTTGTAAGGAAATCTCTTCGGTTGGAATTTGATTTACTGAACGTCAGAATTTTAAACGAATATCGTTGTTACGCCTTTACAATATACAAGTTCAAGATAAGACACCTGAACCAATTTGTTAACTGGAATTTTTTTGTAATTAGTTTCCTACAACCTTTTCTATGTGAGCTGCTTAAATTCCAAAGTCTTCAACTTAACTCTACATAACTCTCAAAAATTCAAAACATTACCAAACGCTCTGAATAAAGCGATGACATGATCTGGGAAAAAATGTGTGACACAATTCGAGTTTTGCTCTCGCATTGCTTACGTTCTGCTGAGGCTAATCTGAAAAATATAATGAACTGATTTGATTTGATTTGAATGATCTTTAAACCCGAAACAGATAAGCCGGTGACTGATGTGTGCCTGGGGTGCATCTGCGAGGCCATCAGTGGATGCAATCAGACTCGTTACTGTGGCGGCGGTGTCTGCGGCCTGTTTCGCATCACCTGGGCCTATTGGGCCGACGGCGGGAAGCTGACCTTGGGCAACGAGAGTCCCCAGTCGGAGGACGGTGAGTACACCCCATCCATTTCCTTTTCAATAAACATTATCTTACATCTGAGGCACATTAATCTCGCTACAGCCTATGCCAACTGCGTGAACGATCCCTACTGCGCGGCCAACACGATCCAGAATTACATGACCAAGTTTGGCCAGGACTGCAATGGGGATAACGCCATCGATTGCTACGACTTTGCCGCCATCCACAAGCTGGGCGGCTATGGGTGCAAGGGCGAGCTGAGCTACCAGTACCAGACGCAGCTGACCAACTGCCTCAATTCGTTCCAGCAGATCGATGTGCGCTCTAGCAAATAATCCCATTAAATTGCTACATTTATGTTCTAATTAAATTTAAATAATGTAATAACTAACTATTTATGGCAATGCATTTGAATTCGATACAGAATAAATGACAAGACAAGGAAATTTGTTTGGGTTTTTGAGAGCCCCACACTTTCTTCATATATTTAGTAAATCATTTAAAGTGGACAACAAATATGAACTTTTAATCTTTTGGTACGATAATTCGTGTAAAAATATTTAACATTTCGAGCTTACTTTCCTACATATTAAATATTTTCTACATCTTAGCTTGAGAGATAACAAAATTATACTAGCCTTCAACACACGCTTTAAAATATTATAAATTCACAATGTAGCATACTTTTTGTTAGAAGTTTTAAAATATTTAACACTTTAATTGTAAGTTAACAACACTAAAAACGATATTGTGTATCGAAGAACATGCAAATATAAATATTTTCTAAGTGCTTTATTCATCTCTTTGTTTTCAACTTACTAACTTAAAAACTAAATTCAATGCATAGATAAAAATATTGAATAATCGGCTTTGATTCTCATACTTATAACCAGAATGCAGGGAGTGAGGTATACGGAGAAGCTATTCCTAACACTTTGTGGGGATGCGCCCTATAAACCGGTATTACCGGCTGTATTGGCGTTTTTCCGGGTGCGTACTCAGCCCATCGGATTCGCCAGTACCAATCGCAGTTTCAGGGGCAGAGGTATTAGATGTTATTATATTAACCTGCCGGAAAATGCGATTTTTTCTGCGCTATTTTGTATATCTGCAGCTGGTGCTGTCGCCTTCATTGGTACAAGGCCAAGGTAAGTTCTTGGTAAAAATATGTTTGCTATATATTTAAAAATTTGCATAAATAGGTCATGTGCTGGATAAACCCGTAACGGAGCTGTGTCTCACCTGCATTTGTGAGGCCATCAGTGGCTGTAATGCCACGGCGATTTGCACTAGTCCGGAAAAGGGAACCTGCGGCATATTCCGCATCACCTGGGGATATTGGGTGGATGCTGGAAAACTGACAGTGAATGGAGAGAACCCCGATTCGGATAACGCCTTTATCAACTGCGCCAATGATCCGCATTGTGCCGCCGACTTGGTGCAAAACTACATGAAGAAGTTCAATCAGGACTGCAATGATGATGGCCAGATGGATTGCCATGATTATGCCCGAATCCATAAATTGGGCGCTTATGGCTGTCAAGCGGACATGCCCTACAAATTCCAAAGTGTGTTTGAGGAGTGCATCGAGAAGTACGAGGATAAGGGATTTCAGTAAATAAAAAACAAGAAAACATAAATTTAATACATTTTTAAACATATCTCATTAAACTTGTCATTTTTATTTCTTCGCGAATCAACCCTGATTGGAAACTAGATCGTTTCATTTCCCATTACTGAAGTGAGTAATTTCGATGGCGCTCATTGTCGATAATAAAAACCAGCAGTCACTGCGGAAATCGTTTCAGTGACTGAATAATCGCGAAACGAATCGAATCGCAGGTGAATACAGACCTCCAGCTATGCATAGTACACATATAGTATATTTTGTACTGGGCCTCACAGTTGGTGGCCTTTGGGTGCAAGCTGAGATCCAAAAACCCATCACAGAACAATGTCTGATCTGTATGTGTGAGGCTCTGAGTGGCTGCAACGCAACGGCTGTGTGCGTGAATGGGGCATGTGGCATTTTCAGGATCACCTGGGATCAGTGGGTGGATTCAGGCAGATTGACCATACCAGGCGACTCGCCTTTGACGGATAGTTGTAAGAACCGGGTGTATCTTTTGATAAAGTGCATTTATTTGTCATTGAATATTCAATATCTACAGCTTTTACCAACTGTGCCAACGATCCGTATTGTGCGGCCGACACTTTGCAGAGTTATATGGTGAAGTACGGACAGGATTGCAACGATGACGCGAAGGAGGACTGCTACGATTATGGAGCAATTCACTATATGGGTCCCTTCAACTGCAAGGCGGATATGCCCTATACCTACGAGAGCATTTTCAGACGATGTTTGAGGAACGCCATGCGAGATGACAAGCGTCAGAAATCCAGCTAGGCATAGAAAGGTTTCCTAGTATTTAGCTACTAACTGGTGAGAAAGAGTCCGTGTGATTTTTGTGCGAATTATTCATAGTTAATATAGGCGTTATGTTCGATTAATAAACTAGTGGCTTGGAGTCAACTGAGATCAGTTGTTTGATCAACACGGCACTTGCAGGTCTGGTTCTCGATTCTCGATTCTCGATTCTCCATCGGATTCAAAGCTCAGTTATGCTTCGATTGCTCGTTTGTTTGTGGCTACTGGTGCACAGGGGTTCCAGCTATGAGGGTAAGTGTTCCCCACCTATTTATAAGCAATATGTAGCTCTATTATTATGGTAATCAACCTCGGTTCGCTGTAAGCAAAGCCAGCTTATAGTAAACGCTTTATACTATAAAGGCGGCTGTTACATCCGCCCATTTCCACTTTTCTCGTACACTGAATATATAATATATTCAATAATATAAAACAAGGGAGAATGCTATAGTCGAGTTCCCCAACTATCAGATACCCGTTACTTATCTGGAATATATATATGGGATTTATACTAAAATCTGTCTGGTTCTAGACGATTCTTTGTACAAGGGCTTTCACTTTTCGTAATTAAAATCTAGCAGACTGCCGTCTATACTATCTGTTTCCATTCACAAGCCTCTTTTGAGTTCAACTTTACACCACCAAGGGCATTCGCCATGCACAGGAACAGGTGGTAATCACTTGGCGCTCTGTCCGGGCTATATGGTGGATGCGATAAAACCTCCCATCCGAGCTACCGTAGCTTCTGACGAGTCATCAACGAAGTGCGTGTTCTGCCGTTGTCAAGCGGTCCAGTTGTTCGCAGTAGATGGTAGAATTAAGCGTCTGGCCATATGGGAGCAGCTCATAGTGGATGATTCCCTTCCAATCCTACTAAACACACAGCAAAACCTTCCTGGCCATCAATCCCGGCTTGGCCACTGTTTGGGACCATTCACCGGCCTTCGACCACGACCGTTTTCGCTTGATATTGTCGTATGTGATCCATTTTTCGTCGCCAGTCACCATCCGCTTCAAGAATGGGTCGAGTTCGTTCCGTTTCAGCAGCATATCGCAGGCGTTGATTCGGTCCAGAAGGTTTTTTTGCGTCAAATCATGCGGCACCCAAACATCAAGCTTTTTTTTGTATCCAGCCTTCTGCAGATGGTTTAAAATGGCTTGGTGAATAACTCCCATCTCCTGGACGATGTCACGAGATGCCACATGCCGGTCTAACTCGATGTATTCCATGATTTGATCGGTATTTGTCGGCTAACTTCGGAAAACTTTAAAATAGCGCGAATTTCGGCGTTAGTGAACTCCATGTTTACACGTCTATAACTGTTGAACGCAATATCCAAACTAATCATGCATCGTTTTGTAGGTTTTTTCAAGACCTTTCAAATTATGTATAGTATTGCCAGATACGAGTTTTGCCAGATTGTACATAGCCGCGAAATTCAAAAGACAAAAAGGCGGAAGGGAGATAATTGCCAAGCTAATATATTCAATAATATAAAACAAGGGAGAATGCTATAGTCGAGTTACTTACTTATCTGGAATATATATATGGGATTTATACTAAAATCTTAATAATCTTGATAATCGTAAGCTGTTAAATATATTCCCTACTGTCTGGTTCCAGACGATTCTTTGTACATAGGCTTTCACTTTTCGTAATTAAAATCTAGCAGACTGCCGTCTATATTAGCAATGGAATTAAATTGATATAACTTATGCATAGAAGGATTTTGACAATAAGAACAAATTTTTTTCTAAATATAACTAGACACGACAAAGACATTAATTAAGATATGTTATTAAGATAAAAAACAGCTAAAAAAGACTTAAGTAATATTTAATAGCTTGTGCGACGGGAGGAATATATTTGTGTTTAATAATTGCGCCAAGCTCACTGTTTCAAATTTAGAAACTGCTATAAATTGTAAAAAATGAGACTCGGCGATTTAGTGCTTAGTACTTCAGCTTCCTTTCAACACTATCAAATCAAACTTTACAATGCTGATCAACCCACAATCCTTGTTGACGGTAATATTTGCGGTGATGTTCCTGGGTATGGCATCCTCGTATGAAATTGTCAGAAAATGTCCTTATCATTATGAATGGAAAGACAACTATTGCCAATACTATGATCATTACCCAGGGTAATTACACCAAATAAATAATTTCTGAACATTCCAAAAACTTGATTTTTTTAACAAAAGCATGATTCTTTATTGGGTTTCTTCGTTCCCCACTTTTCGGGGATTTATCTTTGTCTGTTTTTAAAACAATCCTTGGTAACACATATACACGTACATACATCGAAACATTGCTTATGTTTGTGTTTGAACAGTTTCCAATATAGGTATGGATTCTATAGATTTATATATATTTATACAGATATATACTGTATAATATATATAGAGGGGTATATGAAAACTACTTTAATATGCTCTCTCTTTTTGTAATTTGTTAGTCAACATGTTAACATACTGGTAGTACATAGTTATTAATATATTCAGATTCTGGCTTACGTTTGCTAAAGCTAGGCTCTAACATTGGTTTGCCTTTCAGTGGTCATGGTTCTATATCTCGAGATGAGGTTCTCTCTATTAAGGGGTATTCGGTTTAGTATTTAGTATTTAGTATTCGGGAACTTGAAAGTAAAAAGAACTATTTTGGACATTTTCATCAAAATCTGTTCAAATTGAAATTGTTTCAACAACCTTTTAGTTGGTAATGATTCATATGAGCTGATACTGGAGGCAATGTCAAACGAAAGGCAGCCATATCATCCTATTCTTATCATAATATGTTGTCAAATATCTCCCTTCCGCTTTCTTGCTCTTTATTCAATGCTTTATAAAAAGTGTTACTGTGATCGGATTTAGTTCAAATATGCGCCGTTTTGTTCGATAATCTGTTTCCATTCACAAGCCTCTTTTGAGTTCAACTTTACACCACCAAGGGCATTCGCCATGCACAGGAACAGGTGGTAATCACTTGGCGCTCTGTCCGGGCTATATGGTGGATGCGATAAAACCTCCCATCCGAGCTACCGTAGCTTCTGACGAGTCATCAACGAAGTGCGTGTTCTGCCGTTGTCAAGCGGTCCAGTTGTTCGCAGTAGATGGTAGAATTAAGCGTCTGGCCATATGGGAGCAGCTCATAGTGGATGATTCCCTTCCAATCCTACTAAACACACAGCAAAACCTTCCTGGCCATCAATCCCGGCTTGGCCACTGTTTGGGACCATTCACCGGCCTTCGACCACGACCGTTTTCGCTTGATATTGTCGTATGTGATCCATTTTTCGTCGCCAGTCACCATCCGCTTCAAGAATGGGTCGAGTTCGTTCCGTTTCAGCAGCATATCGCAGGCGTTGATTCGGTCCAGAAGGTTTTTTTGCGTCAAATCATGCGGCACCCAAACATCAAGCTTTTTTTTGTATCCAGCCTTCTGCAGATGGTTTAAAATGGCTTGGTGAATAACTCCCATCTCCTGGACGATGTCACGAGATGCCACATGCCGGTCTAACTCGATGTATTCCATGATTTGATCGGTATTTGTCGGCTAACTTCGGAAAACTTTAAAATAGCGCGAATTTCGGCGTTAGTGAACTCCATGTTTACACGTCTATAACTGTTGAACGCAATATCCAAACTAATCATGCATCGTTTTGTAGGTTTTTTCAAGACCTTTCAAATTATGTATAGTATTGCCAGATACGAGTTTTGCCAGATTGTACATAGCCGCGAAATTCAAAAGACAAAAAGGCGGAAGGGAGATAATTGCCAAGCTAATATATTCAATAATATAAAACAAGGGAGAATGCTATAGTCGAGTTACTTACTTATCTGGAATATATATATGGGATTTATACTAAAATCTTAATAATCTTGATAATCGTAAGCTGTTAAATATATTCCCTACTGTCTGGTTCCAGACGATTCTTTGTACATAGGCTTTCACATTTCGTAATTAAAATCTAGCAGACTGCCGTCTATATTAGCAATGGAATTAAATTATATTGATATTGATTATTATGATATTACTTATGCATAGAAGGATTTTGACAATAAGAACAAATTTTTTTCTAAATATAACTAGACACGACAAAGACATTAATTAAGATATGTTATGTAGATAAAAAACAGCTAAAAAAAGACTTAAGTAATATTTAATAGCTTGTGCGACGGGAGGAATATATTTGTGTTTAATAATTGCGCCAAGCTCACTGTTTCAAATTTAGAAACTGCTATAAATTGTAAAAATTGAGACTCGGCGATTTAGTGCTTAGCTTCCTTTCAACACTATCAAATCAAACTTTACAATGCTGATCAACCCACAATCCTTGTTGATGGTAATAGTTGCGGTGCTGTTCCTGGGTATGGCACCCTCGCCTACAAATGCCAGACAATGTCCTCCTAATTATATTTTCAAAGGCAAATGGTGCTATAAGAAAATAGGTATTTAAGGTTAATTACACCAAATAAATAATTTCTGAACATTCCATAAACTTGATTTTTTTAACAAAAGGATGGAAACTAAGAAAACTATTTCTCGAAAAAGTTTTTCAAATCAGTTTGTATGGGAGATAACATTCGAGTATGAACTTAGAGTATAATTGTACAGTCATGATAACTGGAATGCGTTGCGGTTATTCGACCGATTCGCTGACTATTTACTTAATTATGTAAGCGGCTTCCAATTGGGTGCAAATATACTCGCCCATTTGCCAGCAGGTTGTGGACCTGCTCTCTCGATGCCCCTCGAAGTGGATCTGAAACTGAAACTTCACGTCTCTGGAATCTGCATGCTTAATCTCAACTTTCTAGCTTGTATAGTTCCTGAGATCTCGACGTTCATACGGACGGACAGACGGACATGGCCAGATCGACTCGGCTATTGATCCTGATCAAGAATATATATACTATATATGCTTCCTTCTGCCTGTTACATAGTATTTAACGAATCTAGTATCCCGAATTAATTTATCTTTCGCGTTATTTTTTGAAATAAGTAAGAATTGTTTCTTATTTCTTTCTGTGTATTTAGTGCAAAATAAACCCGTCACCGAAGATTGCCTAGACTGTCTGTGCGAAACAATGAGTGGCTGCAATGCATCCGCAATTTGCGTAAATGGGGCCTGCGGTATATTCCGGATCACTTGGGGCTACTGGGTGGAGGCGGGCAAACTAACTTTGCCCACAGATACAGCTCTTTCCGAAGACGGTAGGTTGACGATATCCGATGTATATATCCATTCGAAAGCCAATGTCCATTGTTTAGCCTTTACGAACTGCGTGAATCAGCCCCACTGTGCAGCCAACACGGTTCAGAATTATATGTTCAAGCATGGTCAGGATTGCAACCGAGATGACCACATCGATTGCCTGGATTTTGGAGCACTCCACAAACTGGGCAATTTGAAGTGCCAGGAAGAGTTGCCCTACATCTACGCCAAGGTCTTCAATCGATGTCTGAAATCCAAGGACCGATTGGTCGAGGAAAATATCATCAAAGAGCAGGAAAGGGTTTCAACATAATTGATTCTTTATTGGGTTTCTTCGTTCCCCACTTTTCGGGGATTTATCTTTGTCTGTTTTTAAAACAATCCTTGGTAACACATATACACGTACATACATCGAAACATTGCTTATGTTTGCGTCTGAACAGTTTCCAATATAGGTATGGATTCTATAGATTTAGTTACAGATACAGATATATATAATATATATAGAGGGGTATATGAAAACTACTTTAATATGCTCTCGCTTTTTGTAATTTGTTAGTCAACATGTTAACATACTGGTAGTACATAGTTATTAATATATTCAGATTCTGGCTTACGTTTGCTAAAGCTTGGCTCTAACATTGGTTTGCCTTTCAGTGGTCATGGTTCTATATCTCGAGATGAGGTTCTCTCTATTAAGGGGTATTCGGTTTAGTAGTATAGTATTCGGGAACTTGAAAGTAAAAAGAACTATTATGGATATTTTCATCAAAATCTGTTCAAATTGAAATTGTTTCAACAACCTTTTAGTTGGTAATGATTCATATGAGCTGATACTGGAGGCAATGTCAAACGAAAGGCAGCCATATCATCCTATTCTTATCATATCTCTAGACGGTGAAGAGTTATGAAAGTGGGCAGTGAACATAATGAAAACTATGTGGAAGTTTCTGCTTAAAAGAACGAAATGAATGCAAAATATTAGTGGAAAAATCAGTGCTTGCCAAAGGTTTATCATTCATACAAATGTTTGGCATAGTTTTTCTTCTGAACTAAAAGCATTAAATGCCAAAAACGCCCACACAAAAGTAAATATGCAGACACAAGTACAATAAACGTGTTTTTAATTGTAGGCTTCTACAGTGTATTTAGTTTTGAAGAAACTATTTTGAAATATTTGGCTTTTCTATGTTCTATTTAGAGTACAAAATGATGGAAAATGTTGGGGTGTGGAGGTGTTGATGGGGGTGTTGAGGTGTGTGAGATGAGGTGTTGAGGTCTGATTCCATCCGATCCTATCTGGTTTGATATACTTGTAGTACGGTTACACGGGTACTTGGTGATGGTCTTATATGGCTAGAATTGCAACTGGAAATATGCGTTTTTGCTGGCTAATTGGGTGCCCTCCCTCACTTCTTGCTGTTCCCATCATTGGCCAACAGCAGCTCCTTGGCCTCCTTCTTGCCCCGTTTCTTCTCCTCCTTGGCGTGCAGCTTGGCCAGACGCTCCTCCTCCTTGGCCAGTCGCTTTTCCTCCTGCAAAATTGAGAGTGAATGACTTTGCTTGCATTTGCATGCAGTGGAAATCATAAACAAGAAAATCGAAATTGCTGGCGTTTTATGAGCCAGCCGTTCTCATAACTTTGGAAGTTTATGCTTCGCCGGTACAAAAGATTCAGCACTACCCCGCCAATTTCCCTAAGCCCTTTCGCCCGCGATTAATGAAAAACTTTTCCAAAACAGTTGGTAAAAAGAAAAAGGGGAACGAGGACAATTACAAACAATGCAAGTATGAACAGCCTGGTTCTCAAACTCTAAGTGGGGGTAAAACAATGCATCCTGCCAACAAAAAAGGATTCTCTGCAATTTCACCCACCTTTCTGGCTTCCTTCTCAGCCTTCAGCTTGAGCTTTTCCTCCTTTTTCTTGCGCTCAACGGACTCGTTCTTCTTATTGTCAGCCTTCTCTCCTGGAATTTAATAAATTTTGATGATATGATAACGAATAACGAACATAAAAGAGTATTTTCATAAAATCGTAATCAATAAGATATAAAAACCTCCTTTTTAAAGGTGTTTTTCTACTCTACATGTAATCCAAATAAAACTCACTCTGATTGCTGGCGGCGGAGAAAAGCGGAAAACTGCGACTGGAAGAGCTTGACGAGGGCTTGGGATTACTAGCCGATCCAGCTCCAGTTGATCCTGAATTGGTGGCAGAGCATCCGGCTGAGGCCCTCGAGCAGCCTGCTCCTTGTGGAGTCGACTTGGAGGCAGTACCAGTGGTTTTTCCCTGCGGAACAGAAGCTGGCGGCTTCTTGTCCTTGGGCATCACGTAAGCGTTTTTCGGCAGCGAGTTCTTTGAGGTCAGTGGGCAGATCTTTGCCCCGCCCGCCTTTAAAGGGGGCGGGGCCAGTGCGGAGCAGCTCAGCTGAATGTTCATTGGACTGGGGCGACGTGGTGGAGGCGACGATCCGGATTCACGCAGCAATGGAGCCAGTTCATGGGCACTGGACTTTGTATAAGTGGAGTAACTGCAAAAATACATGGGCATCCATTTATATCATAGGAGTATACTTTCATATTTGATCTTGGTGTTTCACTCACCGAAATCTTGGATTGCTAACGTGCACGGGCGAAGGATGCGGCACTTTGGCCGGACTGCGGAACTCCTTGATCGGCGGCAGGCGGTTCTGGATGTCCATCAGTCGGTTCTTCACATGCCTTCGACCAGGATACGTGTGCGTAGGCGTCATCATTCCACTGGCTACACTTCCGTTTCCGACCACTCGTCCTCCCCCACTTCCGCTCGAGGATGAACCGGAGATGGGCGTGGAGGAGCTGTTGGTGAGCGTGTGAAGCGGTTTCCTGGGCACGGCACCGGAGCAACCAATGGGACAACCACCATGATGCGAATGCGAAGCTCCGTTTTCCCGCGGTGAGAGGGAACTGCCCGAGGATCCCGATGGAGTGGGTGAGGCCAGGCTGTGTGTGTGATGGTGGGTGGTGGGCGATGGCGGAGCCAGGTGATTGGAACTGGAAGCCACGGCTGGCGAGGCCGGTGAGCACGGACCGTTGCTCGATATGGAAGACGTCTTGGAGTAGTGCGAATAGCCGGAGGCCGATGAAGCCGCCGATCCCGTCGAGCTCATCGAGTACAGGCTGTCCGACTGGGAGACTCGGGCATGTGCTGATCCTCGGGCGGCGTAATGATGCGGGTGATGCCGCCCCACCGCCGACTTGTGCAGCGTGGGCTGGTGGAACGAGTGGTGCCCGCTATGCGCATCGTTCATCGAGTAGGAGCTGGCCGAGGGTACCACCCCGCCGGCGGCCACTCCGGCGGAGGCCCAACTCTTGGCGCCCATCGAGTAGCTGCTGGCCGACTCCTGGATCCGCCAAGTGCCAGAGGACGAGGTCAGACGATTAACCCGGGCTCGGCAAATGACGCAGCGCAGGGGCAACAGGCGCTGGGCCACCGCACTCTGGATGGTCTTCACAAAGCAGCGGCGGCAGACGACGCGGTGGCCACATGGAGAGGTCTGCATGGTGGCCCGGGCATTGATGCAGATCACACATTCGTCCTCTTGAGAGGTTGGAGGATCCGGTTCGCTCTCCTCCTCCAGTTTGCTCAGTAGTTTGTCCTGGAAGAGAAAATTATATTGGTAAGTAGTAAATTATATTCACTAAGCCCTTAAGTAGTCATTTAAATAGCATCTCACTATTGGTTATATTTTTAGCCAAAAAGTATGCAAGTTATTCCATTACAAGCAGTACAGACATATTGCAAGTGCTGACTTCTGATGTCCCCATTTTGAATACCAAGTATTAAAAAGTATTATAAAGTTTGTCAATAAAGTATGTAGTCCAAAGAAATACCGTAGATTTGAAATGTTACGTTTTTATGTACTTAAAGCTTCAAAAAGAATATTTTGTTATATATTGGTCTTTGGTTTAGAGTAGTGAAAGAAGCCACTAGCAGCGGGTAGTTAAGTTAGTGATCATAGCAAATTTCTTAAACTTAATGACGCTGCAATATTAAAGGAACATTCAATTTTTGTTTTAATTGTCTGTTCTAAGTCGTCCCAAACGTCATGAATTTTAATAATAAAAACTGCTCAAATTCGGCATTCTTTTAAGTTGACTGAAGTAAAATTGTGACCAGAACATATTGCATGCATAAGCCTCATAAACACTTAACTCTAAATTCATTTGGACTTTAAAGTTTGGCAGTAACCGTAATATTTTACGATATCATAAAAAGCAATCAAGAAACTTTCAATAACTCAAAAATTTGTATTTAAAAAATCATCTTTTTTTCCAAATTAGTTGGCATTAGTGATTAGTTGATTAGGTGTAAATTATGGCAGCTTATTCTCAAGAATTTTTTCCAGAAGCCGTTTTACAAATCCATAAACATTAACCAAAGTATTACCTATCGAACAAGATCTTTTCATAGCCTTACGATCTGATTTCAAATTACTAAGTGATTATGCAAATTAATGATGAGCTTAGATCGCTGAGTTTGTATCTCCATATCATTATATCTGCATAGACGCCATCTGAGGTCAGTTTGGGTGCTCGACCTCAGATTGACAGGTCGTTAAACATATGATACTTGCTATTGATTTCGAATCTTTCCATTTATAAGAACTGTGCATTGTTGACCATCCTCTCGGGTAATTAATTTTGTGACTCAGCAGGTTTTTAAGCCCTGATTGAATGAACTGGTTGACGATCGCATTAAGCTATTAATAGTAACTGTAGCTATTTTGGGTACTGCTCCTTTTGTTCCAATCGAATTTATTATTTGCGAGCTTATGGCTCGGCAAGGCTTTAGGAAGTTGTAAAGTTATTCTCGTAGTTATATTTTTTGCACAACTTCGGGTGTAAGTACGACTAATGAGTTTGCTCTTGATGTAGAACCTAGAATACATGGCTAAGTGTATTTCCTTGAATGTGTGGCTTTGAGGCTTTGAGCCCTTGCACTTGATGGCTTTTCAATGTCACACCGAAAGCCGTGCAAATTGTTCGCCATCGAAGGTATCTGCGGTTTAATTGCATATATGCGAGGTATACACTTAATTGGAATTTTGTGGCTTCGCAAGCAATGGCAAATCAATCAAGTGTTCGATTGGCAACCACGAATGTCCAAAGAATCTTTTTGCAATTATCTCCTGCCATCTGTATCAACAGCTGAGGGATCTCTGGTTGACTGGTCATCGATTTTGCTACCATGACAAACTGCCATGCCAAAGATTTCAAGAGATTTTCACCTTTCGGATTTATGTTTAATATTCACGCTGTATGTAATGGAATAATATTTTAAAACATATTGCTAACATATTTTCATTATTTTAATTAGCATTGAATGCATAATTATATTTTAATTTTGTGATTTTGTTATGATATACCCCTTAAGGCACCAATGAATTCGAAGTATTTATCGACAGCTGAGACGTTGGCAAAAAAAGCCGTGAAATCGCACGCCTACAAATGATGTGGTCGAAGTTTGAATGCCCTGACTATATTAAGATAATCAAAATCTTCCGTTTTCTTTAAAACCTTGTATATATTTTGAGTGATTAATGAAGCCATACTAATTGACCTGCACAAACTACAGGGTTCCGTTTCACAAAGAATGGGTCAGATAAAATTGTATTAACTTAAAGGAGTGGCTTTCCTTCGTTAATGTTCATAATTTTTTTTTGAGACCTTACCTTAGCCCAAGCTGGAAATAAAAAAAGGGGTCACAGTAGGGAAAAAAAGAGGTGGTAAGTTTGAAAATTGTTGCAATGTTAGCACAAAAATGTAATGGCATGTTCTTGACTGCTTACACTAACAACTGAAACGATTTGTCTTAATTCAAGATGTATCTGCCCCTTTATGGCTGTCGGCTGTCGGACGTCGGATGTCGGAGGTTGGATCCGATCGAGAGGCGATAAGTGAATTGAAACGGAAAGTCTTATCTGGTCAAGGTGAGCTGCCTGTCAGATGGATCCGGCTGAACTTTTGGATTGCCTTTTTCCCGGCAAAAATCACTTGGGTGGGCTGCTCATTCCGAATGCCCGGCATGAAATGGGTGGCGGTGGGTGGCTGTTGGACGCACGACGATCAGGAAACCGAAAACTATTTTACGATCTCGGCCGGCTTTCGCATGCCTGATTAACTCATTTAAATACGGAACGCATTATTGCTTACAGGCGTGCTAAAGTTTGTTGCCTGAGTCTTTCGTTTTAGGGCCTCGCAAATTGTGTTTATCAGATCGACGGCGAAGGAAGCAGCGACGTCAGCAGTGAAGTCGACAGAGACAGTGAGTCTCGACAGAGAGTCTAGCTCGACAGATCGGGAGTTCCGATCGTTCAGTCAGTATTGGCAGCTCGTTGAGAACAGAGCGTTTTCCTTATCGATCGTAGTCGTGATTTGCTTTAGCTAAGCCAAGCTAAGAAATACATAAACAAATGCGGAAACCGATTTGAATGTTAATTTTCGCGTTCGAAAGTGAATTGGAATTGCACGCCCAAATTCGGCGGTTCATTGAACGCAAATCGCCGCAGAACTTGAGCCAATATTTAAACTAATTTATTGTATTTGCCATGGTGTTACCAGCTGCCTCGACATTATGCAATGTATTTACATTTCTGCTGGGTAAGCTGAGACATCTCGAGTGGAAACTTAGGCTGAAACCGAAAGTGGCATCTATTAGCATTGATTCTGCCTCAATGTCAGCTGGAAAATCGTGCCCCAAGTGGGCGGTTGGGGCGTAACTATGCACATAAGTTCAAGGCGGAACGGCTTGTAAGCCAAACAAGTAAACGTCTTTGTTGATACGCGCATTCAAAAGATTCAATTGTTGACCATCGTTCATATTTGACTTGGGGTAGGTCAGCTTGGATGGCCACTGAGCTGTGAAAGAAGGTTGTCCCAAAAATGAAGGGGTGGGAACGAAAGAGATAGTTACTATCCAAACAAATCATCAATATATCGCATATCACTGGTGTAGTCTTTAGATCATTAAAGTCTTGTACAGTTCTTTATGCCATTCTTAATGGCGTGAACCACACCAATTTCAATGTCAGCCGGGGAATCACTTGGCTAGAATCATAAAGCCGGTACCCGTAAAGTTCTTAGTGCAACCATAACGAACACCACGGCTTAAAGCTGCGAGCTGCGTATGAAGTGCCAGCCACACGTACATTTAAATTAAAGCCAGCAGTGCGATAATTAAAAAAAAGAAATACAAATTAAATGCACGGCATGACGTCGCGAAACAACGTGGAAACAAAGCCAATCCAAGCAAAACAAAGAAGACGAAAAGTATTTTTAAGTGGCTATATCAGCAACAACTATGAAACATTCCTCATAAATAAGCGCGACGAACTCTTCCGCTCCGTACAAAAAAATATTAATGTGAATGCAGACCCCATATTTACATATATAAAAGATATTTAAGCTACATTCATAATATTTGGAGTACGATTAAAGTCACTAAAGGAACTACAAACGCGAATTGGAAACACTCTAACTTGTAATTAATTATTAACTGCTGGCGCTAATTTTTTCTGATGTTGAAATCATTATTGAAATAACCATACATGTTTAGATTGCAGAAAATTTTAGTTAATCGGTATTTTTCTAACAATTTATCATGTTTAGAAATATTGTCAACTACTTGATATCCCCCAAAGAGAAGACCATTCCAAAGTTGATATAGTATTTTATTGAGCAAAACGGAAGGTGATAAGTGGACGGAATCGCAAATGAGTCCGGCAGTGGCTAAGGTCAACGTCATTGTTAGTTGGCATCTAATCAAGTCTATGAGCCGTATGCATTCGCAGCTCACGATAAAAATGTGTAGCAAAACATGGAGTGCGAAAAAATCCGTCATTGACATCCCAATGTGGTTGACCCACTGACGGTGGTGCTGCCCGTTTAAGAACCCACCCACTCAGCAATCGATCTGATTAAGCACTTGGCCGTGTGAACATCGAGAACCTGATGGAAATGAAAACTTGTTTTCATTTTGCCCACGGTGCTACGTAACACGCGGCGTATGCGTCACGTGCTGCCTTGTGGCTACTGCTACTGCTACTTGTATTTTTGTTGGCCCCACAAAACATGCCATTCCACTCGATTTCATTTACTCCCCCCAAGTTCACGGCCAAGTTGGTCTTCGTTAGGCCAGTTTCGATTTCTTTGCTACTGTTTTTGTTTGGCTTTTGGTTTTCATCTTTGTTATTACTGTTTTTGGTTGTTATGTTATGGTTTTGGCTACCTGGCACTTGGACGCGTTGCCAGTTGGTTAATGAAGCTAATGAATCAATTAGTTTTGTATTCCAAGCTCTAAGCAAATTGGCTCGTGCTTGCCACTTGACAAATTCGATTGCCGCCTTCATTTTGTGGCAATGTTGTAGGAAGTTACAAAACAATTTGTGTACAAACCTTTTGTTAATAGGTTTCCGCTGAGACTCTTATAAAAATGAAATGAAATATGAATTGGCTATATTATCCGTACGAAATAACTTCTTATTTCTTATTTTGATTGTATATTCTGGTATATCCCAGCCGGTTCGCCAATTTTCTACAGCGCCGCTCCGCGTGGATCCTGCTCCACTTGCTGTGCCATTAAGGAGCGCGAGGACAT